ATCTGCCCTGATCATCTGCAAAGCAAACAAATCAAAGCCTGTGCACTATTCCAAAACTAAAACATAACTTGTGTGCTCCAGGAGATTACTAAAGGCTTCATGTTTTTTTCATTAACATAAATTAAAACAGTTTTTTTTTCAAACAATCCTATGATTCCACTGAAGAAATACTATCATTCTTTCATGGGTAATCCTTCACTTGATCTTTCCTGAAAATATCTTTAATTTACAGTATCCTCTTACTAATATTTCATTAGAGCTCTTTTAAAGACCTGAAGATATTTACTTTCAGCATCTTTCCAGTCTAGAGAATCCTGAGGCAATTTCCTTAGGTAGTCCTTTAGGAGCATCTCGTAGCGTGGAATGCGTTGGACTGGTTCTAGCATGTGATGTTGCAATGTCAAATTCCCACACACCTTTTCCTTCTAAAAAAATTGCAAACACATTTCAATGAAGCAGGCAAAAATGTCATTACGATATTGTGAAAGAAAAGCTGTGATCGATGAAACGTAAACAATGTATTTTGRAACATGCGTGATTGACCTGAAAAAATACAGAATTATTTTACCAAACCAAACAATTAGAAAATCTTCCTWAAAAAAAGTAAAAACTTTTCTAAGTATTTGACTGTAAGTATCAAAGACAAATAAGTCTTACCAAAAAAAGAAAAGTGTCTCAAAGTCCAGTATATTTTAAATCAGGTTTGTARTAACAGACAAGAAAAATACTTCTGAGTTAATAACAACAGTTCATGACAACATACTAGAATAAATCACTTAAATGGGCTACAGAGGTATATTTTATCTACCAGAGGAGGGAATGCTTTCTTTGAATTTCGTTTAGTGTCAACTTTCCCAGCAGTTCCCCTCCCTCATATTTTTAGATTAATATGCATTATAATAATCATAGATTCAATTCGATTAGAAAAAAAAATACATTAAAACAAGCATTGTTTTCTTACAATGGCTGGCTTACAACCACAAGACCCCACTGAGCAATAAARTATAAGTAGAAATAGTTCATCCTATTTTTAAGTGCTCAGACTGCAGCAGGACACACAGAGCTGCCAATTCCCAGAGACACCCACAGGGAGCACCAGAGGGTGTGAAATGAGCCTTTGGCAGGACTGACATCCCTGGGCTCTGAACCTTTCCTGAGAGCAGACACAGGACTTGGGGATGCAGTGCAGGGATCTAAAAGATCTATCACYTCATCCTAAAATGGTATTAATTCCCGGTATTCACAGCAAAATGCTGTCCTTTTTTTTCAGTCCTCAGATGTTTCAGCCTTTTTTGCTGTTGAAAAGATGTTTTCAGCCTGTCATTTGCTCATCTATTTTGCAAGAGAAAAATCTGGATTTTTGTGGGTGGATYGTGCACATGTGCAGGGAGGAGAAAGAAAAAACGCAGTGCAAAGTGGATAAAAACAACAACCTTAATTCTAAGGCATTTGGTACTAAATCTTCTCTTTAATCCTTTTTTTCATCAAGAAGCCTATGCATTTTTACATATTTCTTGTATTCTTGAGGATCTACATTATTCTCCCCATTACCTGAATGTCCTGAATAATGAATTTGAATTGAGGTGACCGCTCAGTCCACGTTTTCACCAATTCCATCGCGTTATCAAAATTCTTCACGTACTCTCCGTACATCTTGAGGAAAGGAGCCAACTTTTGCAGGATATCTCCAATTCTAGGGGTGGTAGCCCTGCAAAGTAAGAGGGTGGAATCTCAGAGCAAACAGGAAAGAAAAAAAGTCACACAAGGTTATAAAAGGTTTCAAGGGTCTAATAGAGAATTTTTTGGTATGGGAGCKCCTCGTATGGAATTCCAACATAACCATGAAATCTGAATTCACAGAGAAAGGGTGTTTGTATCCCCTCTGATGATGTACAAACACTACAGATCATGTGGAGGACTAAAATAAGAAAAACTAGAAATTGAAAACCTGGAAGATTTTCTTTACAAAACATGGCCTAATTTATCTGCAGTTCCTTAAAACTACATTATCTTCTTCTGATCATAATTTAACCCTTAAAATATCTGTGGTTTGGTTTGAGGGCTAAACCATACTGTAAAGCTTCCCCTCTGTGTATCATATAAACACGGGTATTTATAATTTTTAAAAGTTATTATTTATCTAAGAAAACATATGAAGGAAAGATCATCCCTTGGACTCCAGTCTTTTGTAAGAAATTTACATTTTCCCCTGATTCCTGATCCTGATTGGATCTTCAAATAAAAGAGAATTGTAAAAAAACCAATGGAAAGGCTGAGAGAATGGCATTCCCAATGCACAAAAAGGATGTGGAGCAGCATCTCCAAGAACTACCACAGAAAGCACATTTCATGTCTCATTTTCAAGGACAGACTCARAAACTCAGTATTTCAGGATGGATTTTGGAAAGTCTGAAATCAGTGCTGTCATAGCAGCCTGAAGTGAAGAAATTAGTGCAATTCCTTCTCCAGCCCACTCCAACGCACCATTTCTCCAAGAGAAAAGATATGTAGAGAGTTATATTTGAAGTTATATTTGAATAGAGAATATTGCAGGACTGCCAAAAACTGGCCCAGCTCCAGCTGCCTCTGCAAGGGCAGGAAGATCCTGTGTAACACAGGGGACTGTGCTGCTGCTGCTGGGACTGCCTCTTGGAGGACAAGGCAGGCTGGGAAGCTGCTCTCTGAAATCATCCTGGCTCCTYATATTCTTGCCAAATTTCTGCTACTGGACATCCTTGGGTGCAGAAGACTCAAGGTATWGTATTCAGTTRTTTTGATTGATAGTCCAGTGAAAGTGGAAAATATYCCTGCYCAYTGAAGAGGAGCTGGAATTAAATGATCTTTAGKGTCTGCTCCAAGCCAAGCCATTCTATGATTCCGTCATGGGATCCCTGTCATGCTCTGTTACACARTTTTCATGGCAAATATATTRCTGYYMCCAGTGTTTTCAAGCCATATGTTGTCAGAGATACTCAGCTCCAGCTGTTGYTCAACTCATTCAAAATGCAACTACCAAATTTCATTTTCACTTGATAAGCTTAGATTCACACTGCTTTTTCTTCCAAAAAAGAAGAATTTGCTTTTGATCTGCTTTCCCAGTTGAAAATTACGTCTTTTTACTCTAAGTTTTCAAACCAAACCACAACTCAAGGAAAGCATTAGAAATTTTTATCCAGCTATTTCTGTTGGAAGATAAGGAATAATAGAAGCACATAAACCTACCCACAGAATATACTCAATTTCTTGTCTCTAATGAGAGGAACTGCTGAGGAAAGACTRCATCTGGCAGAAGCTGTTTGTGCCAGACAATTTCAGAAACCGGTGATGGGGAGAGAAAATTACCCAGGTTTTTCTTTCAGCAGTATCAAAAAGAGCTGTCTTCAACTGCACCATTTTTTTCTAATTCCTCCCAAAAGAACAATGTTTCAAGGGTATTTTAAATAGGCTGTCTCAGGTACAGCACAAAGGTTGTTTTCAAGCAATGTGGAAAAGATGATGTCCTTGTGATGCAATTTATTAGCTCTGCACCAACAGTCAAAGCTTATCTGTAAAAGCACTTTTCAACCTTCGAAGCCATATAATTACACACACAATAGTAGAGAGCAATTTAGCATTTTGCAAATATGGAAGGCAAGACAACCCATCTTCTGTGCTCCATAAGGTGYCTGGAGCAGAATTTGAAGATTACAATGTGAATTTAATTCTGAATTATACAGCACTGACATAATGTAGTGAAAACTATTTTTTGAACACCTAAATTCCACTTCTCATGAGCATATAATTCAGTCTTTCGTATTTCCTTTTAGATTTCTTTCATCTGATTAAAAGAAACAGGTAGGTTTACCTTACATAAGTCACTTTACAGGCAGTATAAGTTRAGGTGTAAGCTTTCCTCTATTTCACAGTGCTTGCATTTTATTTACKATCTTGTACTCTCGSTACTGTGTTTTTGTGCATGGTAACRATTCTATTTTAAAGAATCTTCATTGTAAAGGGGAATTATCTCACCGAGTCAGAAGACATACAGCTGCTGTCTGAAATWTCTGTACAGCCTGAGATTTTCATATATGTCACCAAAAAAGAGCATTTTTTCCTCATTTATGGTGTGCTTTTTGACAGTAAGGATAATAAAGGCATTATATGAAAACGGAACTGGAAATTATACAGGGACAAACWTTTGAATTCCTCATAACAGATTGTAGATAACATGGAATATAGGAGACAAATGGGTGCTGAGGTGAAACAACTGGATGAAACTGTATCTGTAATTTCTTTTTAAATGAGGCTATCCTTTTTCCCAAAGAAAGTAGGGAAGCAGCAATGTTTTGAGACCTTTTTCTCTTCCTTCCATTTACATAAAAGAGAGCAAAAATACATGGCTATATTTTAATACACCAGAATCCCATGCACCAAGGCAAGATAATGATACTACAATATCTGTACATGATCATTACAGAGTGTATTTACACTTCTGCTATCCTGCCTGTTGGTTCCAAACAGAGGTCAAGAAAAATTGGGGGGGAAATGGCTCCAAAACATACCTGACATGGATTTTAATTTCAAACAGAAACCCAAAACACAGAAAAGAAAGRAAAACATAGAAAAGAAAGGCTGTATCCCACCTTATTACAGAAATCAGTAACAACAAGGGTCACTGTGCTTCAATATGAGCATAGATCATGTAAAGTTATTTACCTCAACTTTGYATTCTGCACAATGCATTCACCAGGYAGCACTTAAYTTGAGTSTGAACCCCTAATTTAGCAAAGCACTTGATCATGAGCAATCCCACTGGCTTCAGYGAGATCCATGTCCTTTATTTTGAGCAAATGATGCAAGTCCTGTGCTGAATCAGATCCTGAGGAACAGTGGAAGAGCAGATTTTCTCTTACAGCAGTTCCTGGGCCTGGAGACCTTCATTGTAAAGACAATKTCCCTACCTCTACCCTGCAAGTGACTTTCTACAGGCACAGTTTTAGGAGTATATTAACCAGTGAATTGCCTCTTACCATTCTTGCATTCTTTTTTCAAGTTCTGGAAGTAAGAATTTACTGTGGAAGGCATTTATTGACGAAATGTTAGAAAAGATTTTATTAATCACTTCAGGTGGAAAYGAACCTCTGTTGGCTTCCTCAAGGAGTCTGGAGTAGAATACCTGCAAATACAGAAAAAGAGCCCCAAACCTGTCAGCCTGTTGTGTGTAACCATRGGAGGCCACCTCTCCATCCCTCCTGCTGCAGCTGAGGCAGAGAATATTTCAATAATACAGATGGGTAGGATGAACTCATTCATTACCTTTCCCTCACTAGAAGGAAAAAGATTCTCCTCCCCTCACACTCCACTCTTTTTCTCATAATCCARGCAGAGCTGACAGAAGGGAAGCCAAACTGAAGCAGTGCCATTTTGGATCAGCTCCAGMCATCCTGTCTGTTTTAACAGCGAGATCATCTCAGCTTTCCCAGCYTTCCAGTCGTATTTCCACTCTTCTGCTCTTTGCAATCAGCATGGTGTCTGATCACCATCAGCCCCACCACTTGCCTTGAATGCTGCATCTCCTTATCCTTTTGAAAGCAAAGCAGCTGGCAGGCTGAGAGTGGTCCCCACATACCATTTAAAGCACAGAAGGGGCCCAGTTCTGATTGGACTGTAGTCTTTTTTTAAAAATAAATATATTCTTTCTCCATCAGTGGGCTCTRCCTGACAAGGTGCAGCTACACAATGTGCATCTGTTAATATGCACATCATGAGACCAATTATTGACCCTCTGCCACCCTCTCCCGTGCTTGATCAGGTCACATCTCCTCAGAAAAGGCTTCAGAAGTCTGGGTAAGGACTTGCAAAAGAAGAAAAGAGTCTGAAGACAGGAACTTTGATCACCCCAGCTGAGACAGCAGAAGTGTCTTAAAGGAAAAAAAGCCATATACTGTCACTTAAAAACATGCCCAGTTTGCTGCCCTKTCAACAGGACAGTTAGTTACTTTGAAGACCATAAATATTACACAACTTTTTAACCAAGTTTAGAAACACAACAGTCCCTTCCCTGTCTTCTGCTTTCCTCTCATTAGCAGCAGTTGAACAGCTGTGTTTGAAACTCATTTTTCAGAATTCTCTCCAGTTAATACTTGGAGAAGAGACATAGCTTGAAGACTTCAAGGAAAATAACTGTATATTACCCATCAGAAAAATCTATGAAGGAAGTAAAATTATTTTTCTATTTCTAAACTTCTCTAAATCATTTCTTATTTTTTGCCATACTTTGGCTTTTAACAGTCACYATATATCCATCACAATGTGCTCTGCTGTGTAAATCCACTTTCCTGAGGACAGTTWCTTAGATCCCCAAGCAGCTTGAACAATTATTGTATCAGCTGAGAAGTTTTTACTTTTTATCAACTATTCACGCAAAACTTCTGCACTGGACCTGAGGAATTTAAATAGTGACATCTGAGAAAAATATCATGGAGAAAGGTARTGCAAAGCTAGAGGTGTCCAGGTAAAATGTAAATGTGTTATATGGAAAGTAAAAAAGAGTTCACAAGGAAAATACTCAAGAAGTACAAACTTTCATGCTTAAGAAATATCAGTTAGRCTCCACAAAGCATAAGAGTCCAACCCTTTCCTTGCAAGGACAGTAATTTCTGTTTTTAAATATAMTGTTGGAAAATAGAGGATATACTTTTTGGAATGGGCAATTTCCGTGTTCTTTATGACCAAAGAAAAATTCTGATTGGGTGGTTGAAATTAGAAGGCTTTAGAAATTTGCTAATGAGTGGGTGATTGCAGTTTCATTCTCTCCTATTCATTGGAAGCCAAGACATGGTTATCCATCCTCCTTGTTCTCCACCAGCATGCAATGCTATTGCTTATAGTGATATCWACACATAAAAAACATACTGCATTAACAGCCACAAAATTATAATAGTTCTTAAAAATGTAGCATTCTTAAAATAGGAGCATAGGCAAAGCCATGTGGCAACAGAAAATGACTGACTGGAAAATCAGCAAAATGTGAAAAACATACCAAAATATTATGTCATCTGYACCCAAAATTATGCACAGCCCTTTGAGTGAATTCAAGGCAACACAAGAAAAGCAAATTGCAGAAAAACATACCCCATCTAGGAGGTCAAGTCGGCTGACATAGGCTTTTTCTGTTTGCAGAAGTTCATTGGCGATTTTGTGACGTTTTTGCTCATCTGTCTCCTGGAGGAAAATAAGAGCAGCTCTTAGGATACTGAAGAAAACATAATTTAATATTTTTTAAAAAACCTGGAAATATTTATGACTGCTCTACAGTCCATGAAACAACTAAAATACAAGTTTCACATTTAGCAATGAACACCAACTTTGAAAAATATACATAATCTCCCACAGTTTAATCAACATATACACGAGTCAGAGAATGTTGAAAACCAGTCAAATTTCAGAGCAAAACTCAATGCCTAAAAGATTTAGTGTTTTCCAGTTTCTCCAGGGATCTTTGCCAAAGCACCAACTCCCTCCTTCACAGATCAGCTCACATCCTGGTGATGGGAGTACCACTGACCTTTCAGAGCTGGAGGAACGGATTTGCAGAGTAAGAGGGAACAGATGGGAGCAGTCAGCGTTCGCCCCCGCCCCATTTCAGAAGTTGTTTGAACTGCATGTTCCTTGCACAACAAAATTATTGGAAAATGTGCTACAATATGTTTTATGTTCACTCATTGCTGAATAATTGCTGACTGCGATTAGAGGGTTGAGTCTTTTTGGAAGTGATTTTTGCATTTTAAAGGGAAGTTTTCATTTTCAAGTCTTTTATTCTGTAAAATGTATTTCTGATTCTTCTGCTGAACAGAAGCTTAAAACATTCACTCAATTTTCAATATTAAACTAATTATGTTGGAATATATAATTAAATAAGTTGCTGGGCAAAAATTACTCCAAAACAAATAATGAAAAATTACTCCAAAACAGCCTTCTACAATATCAAAACATTGGGGAAATGCCTCAGGCTTGCAAGTGTCAGGTTCAACAAACTGACACTTCCACTACAAGACTCCTTCTCCAGATCTAGTGATAGTCTGTTCAYATCTAGCGACATCAGAGCCTTCCCTAAATAAATGGCAGCATTATCACAGTGCTTCTGGGAGAGTGGTAATTGCTAGACAAACCATAAAAAGTCTTTGTTAAAAAAAATAAAGAGAAGAGCCTGAGAGAGCGGTTTCTGATTTCAAACTGCGCACTGCTTTCCACAAGGTATGATAAACATTTGCAGTACCTTTACAAAAATTGYCAATTATGAATATTAAAGAACAGTCCTATATTTAAGCGACTTCAGTGGGGTTTTTTCCCATTTTTGGTTTTCAATAAGTATTCCAAATTCCAGCATATTTCAATTCTATTCTATTCTATTGCAGTGTTCACAGTCACACTGCTACRTGGCAAACCCTCCTCCCTGAAAACAGGCTTTCAATAGTGACTTCAAAGCAGTTCATTAAATCTGTTTAAATCAGCATAGCAACCACAGTAACCTGCAGAACTGTGCTTTAAGTGCTGTCAAGAGACATTGCAGGGAGCTGCAGGATTAGCTATTACAGCTGCAGCTTGCTGTTCAGTGCAGCCATTTACAGAGGAKCTCACATGGGGACTTGAGGCACAAAACCACGGAGGTTGCTGGTTCCTCAGCAATTTAAATTTTTTTTCCTCACCCCAGAACCCCATTTTCCCTTGGAAGCACTGCTATGGAAACAATCCATAGATTTTAGATTACTTCAGCTAATTAAGAGAGGGAAAATCATAAACAACAAACACAAAAACATCACATGAAACAAGCTGAGCCCAGCTTTCCAATCCTCTCAGTATCAACCTTCCACATCTTCTTAATTCTTGAACCTGCATCTCCTTTCTACATCAATAGCACGACCTGACAAGAGGGATCTTCTAYGTGGGGGAAAAATGCACACCATGGATGAGTTATCTTTTAATCACTGTGGCGTGTTCCTATTCCAGCATAAGAACACCCACCTTTCAGGGTTAGATCAGTGCAAAAATGACACAAAACTCTGCTGCTGCTTTTCTTTTTGCACGTCCTCAGCAGGGAGCAGGGGGTGTTGTTAAGGGTAACTTCAGGGAATAATTATCTCAGGGAACATTTCAAACTTCTGTGAAAWTCCGTAACACATGGAAACTCAATGTGTAAAACCAAACAGAAATGGCTAGCGGGCTGCGTAGAGAAAATTTACACCACACAGACRTGATTTAATCTGCTGACCAAAATATCAGGARTGAGAGCAAGAGTAGCACCAGGAGRGACTGCAAACCTGAATCTCTATTCCAGTGCTTACAGTACATGTTTCAGCTCAATCTAGTTCTTTAGCACAGAGCTGTTAATCCTTAAAATCATTAAATTACTATGACGATTAATAAATTAAAATAAGCAATTTTGAACTCTGAAATTAAGAAGAGGGATGAAAAATGCTGGTGAAAGTACAAACTGTCTTATTATCCTGACCAAACAGGAGCCACCTCCTGTCAGGAAACCTACACCTGCCAACATGACAGTGATGCTGGATATGATTCACTCTTACTCAGGCATAGCCCCTTGCCCCAAGGGCTTTGAAGGAATCTATTAAACAGCACARACAGGGTGAGAGAAGTAGAGTGTGAGCAAATAAAATTTAAATTGCACTGTGCTTGTTTCTGGCACAGCAACCAAGAAAGCAGTAAAGATCCTGGTATCCCTGCAGAAAGATTATTCACAAGAAAATTTATGCATTTATATTGGTTGCACAAGATACACAGCTTTGTTCRTGTTACTGTTCCTAAAGACCAAAAAAAAAGTAGAATCAGGAAGTTAGCAGAACCTCTTCAGTGTTTCAAGGGTAAAACATTTCTAGGCAGAAAATTAACTTTGCAACAAAAAATTTACCTTGTTTAACTTGAATCATCCTATATTTAGAAATCAAGCATCTCAACCAGGTTTTACATCTGAAACATCAGAGCCCTCAGAATCATTATGAAAAGAAGACACCATGAAAGGATTTTCCATGAATTTTCCTCCATCTGTGGCATGCAGGCAGTCTATATCCCTGTGTCCTACCAGTCTCACAACAAACACTGACACATTTGTCCTCTTGTCTCCAGTCAGCTCTAGCASCAGATTCCTCACAAGATGTTATTCAGGAAGTTAATTGATTGAGATGTTCTTGTGCTGTTCAGCCTCCGCAGTTTAGACAAACCAAATTTTGTGACAGGAGGTGCTTCTGCTGCAAGGCAGGGAACTTTTCACTTTTGTCTTTTAGCTTGTTATACTTGTGTTTCATTACTTTCAAATTAATTCAGTAAATAAGAGAAATAAAGTGTGCTCTGCTCTGGTTCTTTGGGGAAATTCTTTTGGATCACTGCCAAATTTAATAAGTTTTGCTCAACTTTTTCCAGAATCTGCAATTATCTGTCTTTAGATCTACAGTGATAAGGGGGGAAAGAATTTTAAGAGAAACACTATTTCAAAACAAGCCTACTTTTCCAAGTCCAAAAAGTAATTTCCGCACCGGTTTTGCATCAGTCCCCAGTTTCATTCACCCTTTCCAGCAGTGAATTTAGGATTACTTTTACTCTACACATACACATTTACAAGAGAGAGAGAGCACCTCTTCCTTCTCTTTCCTGAACTAAGAAACATGGCATGCAAGAGATGAGACACTTTGCATCAGTATGAAAATACATATATATCAGTGGCATAACATAAAGTTTAACTGTGACTCACATGCATCTGCTTCTTTTGTTTTTATTCAATTGTACCTACATTTTTAATCAAAAAAATGTTAATCAAAAAAAATCAAAAGGGCAAGAGAGTGCAGTTATCCTGTACAGTGCAACTTCTACTGGACTGCATCCAAGTTTTAATATTCTACAATGACTAAGTAAGCATGTAGCAGAATCAGGTTGCCTAATGCTCTTAGTTCTTACCAGTGGCTCCACCAGAACTCTCCTGCTGCTCATCATCTTTCCCCAAATCCAGACATGGCAGCAGCTACTTAGACCACCACAGGGCTGATTTCCATCTACAGGCTGCATTAACCCAAACTAAATAGGTGTTGGACTCTGTAAAGGGTGCAGACACACTTCTTAACCTCACCAGACAGAAGGGGAAGTCCTTGTTGCACAAGGTATCTCAGGAAGGGCTGCTGCCACCGAGCTCAGTTTTAAAGAGTCAGTTCTGCACCAATGCAGGTTTCAAAGTCATCCTGCATGGGCTTGGYATGGTTTTTTACCCTTCAAGCACCAGTGAACAATGCACACCCAGTTACAGGCACATTACACCTCACAAGCTGACCCACTGTCCATATAAGACACATCACACGCGCTGGTTCCAGCAGCTCAAAGACAGATTTTAATGAGATTGCTGCCATTAGCATTTGCCCAGTTCCTTCCTGAGCTTTAAAACAGAACTGCTTCCCTTTGCAGMTTTTTCCTGAAAATGCTGCCAGCACCTTGCTGCATGACTTGGATTCAAGCTCAACATTGCTGCCCACTGAGAATTCAGCATTTTATAGGAACAGAGAAGGGAAACAGGCATTGCCCAACAGGAGACAGGAACATAATGACAGGTGTGGCAGGCCAAAAGTGCCTTGGACAGTACCCTTCATGTTTAGGTGGGGWTCATAACATTCATTTGTTACTGGGAAAAAAAAAAACCCAACAACCCCTAAAACAAAGAAAACCCACACAACCCATCACTTTCTTATCATTGCCTAGGATATTTCATCCTATAATACATAAGAATTTGAGATCCACCCTTCCCACTCACAGAATTGACCTTACATGTAGGTGACCCCCATYTAACCAAGCTCAAGCTCTGCAGTCAGCTGGGGCAGGTGCTCTCCTTTATCAGCATTCTTCTTTGGCTCTGTGCTGAAGGGGAAGACTGGGAGGATCTGCCAAGCTCACAGGGACTGCTGGACCAGAACTGTTAATCATGTTTATGCTTTGGTACAAGAAGGCAAACTGCAGAAGTGAACTTTAACAAGTGAAAAAAATGCACCGTTTTTCGGCAATTAATTTCCCAAGGCAGATTYTCTTCCACCTGCTTATTTCGCTTAAGTATTTAAAACCTTCCTTACAAGGGAGCTCAAATTCATCCTGGTATAAGTTCTCCTTGCTAAAAAGGCACATACTTAGCATACTCTGAACATTGCATCTATCTGATCACTAGCACACTGGCACTGCCTTTCCAGCTGTGACTTGAGAACTACATCCAAGTCAGAGATTCACACAACAGCTCTGCCTGAAGCTCAGTCATTGCAGTTTACTACACGTGGCATTTTATTTCATGCACACCACTGACATGTGTCCCTTGTAGTCTGGCACGGCTGAGGCATGGTGCTAAACAGATATGCATATTTAGAGTTTTTTAAATCTCAGATAACTAGTGAGGAAAGAGCCAAGGGGATAAGGGGAAGAGCAAAGGAGGAGAGTGTGGGAAGAGGCAAGCAAAACTTTTTCCTCATCTTTTTTTCRGAGGAAAAATAACCAAAAACATTTTCAACTTTCTGACCTGCTCCTGGAAGCCTATTTGTGTAAATAAAAGCCTAGAGGAAATAGAGAATATTGTAACATACCAGGAATGAAACAATTTTTCATTTTACCTTTGTTTCTATGGGTTGATCTTGTTTAGTGATCTCCTCAGCTGGCTCYTCCTTCACGTCAGCATGAATTTCTAGAGTTTCATTTTGGGATGGGAGCAGCGTTTCGCCGCTCGGAGTCCTGTGGCAGCTGTTGGGTATCTGCTCCTCACAGGCACTCACACTTTGCAGGCTCTCCCTGCAAGAGCTTTCTCCTTCCCCATTTATCAAAYTGCTGTCCATGGCATCATCTGGGACTGGGGTGGACACGTTGGAGCCACGGTCTGGCAACCTGGGGTCCTCATCCTCTGGCTGGTCCTGGGCTACCACTCCGTTGGCCGTGTGCAGCTGTGCAACCTGAGTTTTGTCAGTGGTACTGTTTCCCTGTTTCTGTAGTGAGAGCTGGGAGGGGAGTTTTGGCTGAGGTGATGCTGTTGACCCATATCTTCCTTGAGATTTAGTAATGTGGAGAACAGAGGAATCTTTCTTCAAATCACTGGGGTTCAGCGAGCTAGAAACACCAAGCAAAGAAAACATTGGAGAGAGAAGAGCTAAACATGGACTTAGAGCAAATCCTGATGTGGGGGATAAAAGGGTTGCACCATATAACCAACACATCCCAAACCATTTTTATCCTGTGTTAATACTAGGAAGTTCATTGAGACCTGGAATGCATTAAACACTTAGAAACATGCATCTCTTACTGGAAGMCCAGAGCTCTGTCCATACTGAGCCTCTGCATCCTCGTGTGCCTTGAATCTCATGTGYATGGGAGATTTAAATCAGATATTAGGAGAAACCTCTCCACTAGGCTTTGGAACAGGGTGTCCARGAAAGATTTTGAGCMACCATCCCTGGAGATATTTARAAGGTGTCAAGATGTTGCATCTGAGGACRTGGTTCAGTGGTGGATTRGGCAGTGCTGGGTTAACAGCTGGATCCAATGATCWTTTGCAACCTAAATGATTCTATCCTCAGTTCCATGTTACAGACCAGGAAATCAAGAAACYCATAGGTGAAGCAGCTTGCCCGAAGTGTCCCAGAAGATTATTGGCAGAAATGGAGCAACACTCGTGTTTTCCTGAGTCCCAGTCCACWGCTTAAACTAATAAGCAGCCTATTCCCTAACTGCTCTTTGATTATAAAAATTAATTAAGCCTGTCCAAGAACATTTAGCATCCATTTCCTTAGTTTCAGCATTACAGGAGGACCTTTATATTTTTACCCCATTTCTTTGTTAGTTTCCTTATTTAGCAGTGTCCTCTTGTCATGCTGCATCTTTTCTGAAGACCTCTRAAATTTATCTCTGCTTTAAACACATTATCTTTTGTTCCTGTCTGTCCTCTAACTGTTCTTATTATGGACCTCCATCTTCTGGAATGATGATAACTGTTTACAAACTGTATTTTCACTCCTTATTTATAGTATACTTTACACAAATATTGCAAACATATTCTGCAATTTATGCAGAAAATCAGATCAAAAACAACTTACACTAGCTTTTTCTTCCATCACAAAACAAAAGAAATTTAAATCAGTTTTTCTTTAGTCGTGTAAAATATCATGCCTTTTTTTATTAAACAAGCTGAACTCCAGGATAAAATTAATAAACATTTTTCAATTGCCTGCACAGAGTAAASAGGTTTAATTAACTTTCTGCCATGTCTACAGGCTTGTGGGCTGTACATACTAATGAAAATAAGCTATTATAGTTGACAATCACAGTTTGTAGTCCATGAACATGCTACCTAGCCCCATTTCAAGACCACTAATTAAAAGTGAAATTCAGCTTCACAGAAGACACATTTTGTGAGTTGAGCTCATTCAAAAAACGGGAATTACCTCCACTGCCAAAGCAGGATATTCCAGAACTCAGCATGCTAATTATGGACGTTTCTCATAAGCAGAGATCACAGACTTGAATAGAATTTAATCTTTGCACAGATATTACTGGTTGTACATAATGAACGATGCTGCCCAAAAGCAAGTCATGAAATGTSCCTACTTTTAAAGGTCTGTGAACAAGAAAGTTTTCTCTCTTCCTTTATAGCTTCCTTTGATTGCATAACATGGAAAAAGTTCTTGTACAATGCAGCAGGCAGGTCTAGAAGGRAGAAATGTAGGGCTCAGTGGTGTGGGGCACAATGAACCTGAGAACTTTTCTTTCAGAAAGGACAATTTTATTTTTTTTCCCTAAGGATACTGCAGTGTTCAGGACTTGGGTGATGCTTTCAAGGAAGGCTGGGAAACAGAGTGGTAACAGGATTATAGACTTGTGCCAGAAGAATCCACAGGACCTCCAGTGCTGCAGCAATCTCTTTTCCCATCTCTGAGCATTCCCATCACCTGTCATGACCAAGTGCAATTAAGTCTCTGCCTAATGACTGAAATTTGTTGCAGATGAAATTCTGGAATTATTCTACTCCTATGGACAAATACACTTTTGCAACGCTCAGCTGCTTCTGTAGAAAGGATTACATTTCACCCATCTTGAGGGGAAATTATTCAATGGAAGTGTTAATACTCTGCCTCCACAGAAGGTCATGCTYTGTTGTACATCACATATTCACTCCCTCAGGGGGCATCCCTTYRGAGCACCAGCGTCCCAAGGAAACAYRAGATAACCACATCCAAAACTTGCAATGCTCAACTGCCACTGGGTTCTTCCTTGAGCTGTTCCTCTCAGGGTTTGGGGAAAGTCACTCTGTTTACACAGAGCAGATACTTAAAACTTCTGCTTCAGAGCTTATAATGCACCTACTTAGAGATGCATCATATACATGGAATTAAAGACACACAAGTAACATCATTTTGTGAAAGCAGCGTTCACCGTGGTTCATTTTTCCCAGAGTTCCAAATGTTTCCCATAAATTACAGAATCAAAATTTGAGAACACTGAGCTTTTCCACTGATATCACTGATATAAAGCAAACCATGTAGAGAATGCATGCCATACCACTACAAATGACGTGAWGAGCTCATCCTCTTCACATAAATTATATAAGAGAGTATGAAATTAAAACCAGGATTTCAGTTTTTTCTGCTTATAAAAGTATTTTTTTCTTCTGCAAGAACAAAAGTATTTAATATTAGCTTCAATATTAAACTTATTTCAAACTGCTGACATCTTCAAAAATGCTCTTAAAATGCTACAGATTTTTCCCTTTTTTTTAAGGGAAAATTAGGACTAATGCCATATGCAAAAGCACACCTTGTAAAGCCAAATATACAACTGGACCTCACAATTTCAAAACACAGGCAGTTTTTGCCATCAAGTCCTCTGGCAGGGACTGGAGTGAGCCCTACCACCGTACCAATGTTCTTCCTCACAGCTTTAAGTGACAACAATCCCCACACAACAGACACACTCAAATTTTATTACATACCTGCCTCCCTCGAAGCGGTTGATGAGATCTGACACTTTACTGGACTTCTCCTTCATGACAYTGGAAACAGCAGCAGGCGTCTCTTCCTCCATTCTTGGTTTCTGATTTGTTAAAGCTTTATGCCTAGGGGTTTGGTATGCTGCCTTCTGCAGATGAATTGGCTTTGGAGGCACTGCAAACAACAACAACAAAAATCAATCAATCAATCAATCAATCAATCAATCAATCAATCATCAATCAATCAATCAATCAATCATATTTCTTTGAGCTGTTCACAATACAGAATCATAGAATGGTTTTGGCTGGAAGGGACCTTAAAGATCACTTAGTTCCAAACCCCCTGCCACAGGCAGAGACACCTTCCTCTAGGCCAGGTTACTCTCACCCATRAGATTTTTGCATAAAGAAACTACAGCAGCAATGAAAAAGATACTCTTGGCTTTAAKGAAACTTAAAGCTGCTTTACAAATACAGGGACTTCATATAGTTCTTTATGCACTGTTTGGTAGCAGGAATCTTGTTACATTTCTTGACTAAAAGCTGAAACTTATGCTACTTTAAGAAGCTGGAACATCAGGGAATTTTCTTGCTTGTTTGGTTGTTTTTATAGTGTACTGCAGGAAATACGTATGTGAGGTTCGTAACTGCAGGTTTTATGATAAAAAAGAATTAAGCCAAAAGGAAAGAGCCATGCTGTGGAGCTCAAGAGAGAGATTTAAATTGCTGCCCCCAAAACTCTGCTGCTCTCATTCTTTACCTTATCCCTTGCGACCTCAATAATAATCATCAGTGGAAAAGGTATTTGCCTTCAGCTTTAAACTTCCCTCACTCACTGAACCTTTGTCTAATTATACTGCTGAAATACTTCCCTCCTGAAAACATTTTTTATTATTCTTGCTTTTTCTCCATCCTTACCGTAAGTACTTCTAATTAGATTGTTAATGATCAGCCACTGTTTAATACAGCAATGACGAGAACACAAAAGACAAGGTGACACATAAAGGAACTAAAGTCACAGAACCAAAATCTTTAAATTAAATTTAAGCAACCATGCAGCATTTGTGGGTAGCAAAAATCCTAGATGGGGCCCCAAATGCATTCCACATTGGAGCAGTGAATGCCCAGCTCCATCAAAAGGAGAGATGTAATGGAAAAGGAACTTAATTCCCAAGAACACAACTCTGCCCCACAACATATTGCAGGAGAAGTGAAAGCATTTGATATGAAATTGGACAAAAAGTTTTGAAATGCAGACATAAACTGGCAGGAGTAGGCAATGCCCTCCCAGTGGAACCAGTGGCCCAGGGGCTCAGTCACTGCTGCACAGKCACCACATTCCATTGTGGCACAGACATTGGCCCTCCAGCAACTACAAACATGAAGGGATGGGGCTTTAGGAATCACATGCCACTCTTGTGGTAGGAAAAAAAAAGCTCTGGCACAGGATGCRCATTGGGTGTTTGTGAAAAAGCCGTGTTCCTCCCATTGCTGACTCCAGAATATCTTCCTAAGTTACCCTGGAAAACCCATGCACCATAGATATAACCTTAAATCCCATCAAGCAAATCTGAAAGGGGTGTTGAAAAGCTTCTTGCAAATATATTAATCATAGATGGCGATAAACTTGCAGAAACGTTCAATTAAGGGCAATTTTCCATCTCTTTTCTCATCTTCCCTTATATTAAATTTACAGGTAATACAGGAGGTAGTATTTGTCTGTGTTTCCAGTAATTTAATTGCGCTTAACAGGACTGCAGCAATCGCTGCAGTCTGAAAAGCACCATGAGAGACTTTAGGAAGAAACGAATTTACTACAAAAAAGCTTTAGACTTCAATCATGTCAACTACAAATGCTGATAAATGGAACAGTCAGAGGAAGAAGGAAGACAATTACTGCAGATCAGCTGCTTTTACTGGGCACGTGTGTACCCTTGGTCCTTGGAAGCTTTACATTTATTAATGCACGCAAAAAAAAAGCAAGTTGGGGACGGATGCAGTACAGAAAGATTGTTCAGAATGCTGCTCTTATGAAATAGTTACTTTGCAAGCCTGAAAGGAGCAGACTATTAAACTGTGCAAGTGGCTGGGTGTCTGCAGTAGCCACAGTCCTTCCTGAGAAGCCCCGTGCCATGGCTTTCCCCAAATTCCTCTTGCCAGGRAGCTCGGGGAAGGCCTGGCAGAATGAGGCCAGCGAGCATCAGATAATTGTCCAACCCTGAATAGCTGCTGCGCTGACAAAGGCCACGGGATCGCTGAAACAAGGTGACACAAGCGGCTGGGGACAAGCAGGACACATCATTGATCATAAGCACTGCCATCCCCTCGGGGAGGAGAGGGACAGCAAAGGGGACACCAAGGGGATTTGCTGACCAGCACCTCAGGAATTTTAGAAACATTTCTTGCTCTTGCAAAATATAAACCCCAGTCCTGTGAATTCTCTTATGTAACGGGCTCATACACCTCTCTTCAGTTCTTCTGTACATCTCATGAAATGCTAATATCCTCACTAGGATATATTAAAACCACTAAACTTGAGGGAATTAATGTCTACTGAAAAAGCTGAAGGAATTAGTTGGGTAGTTATTTTTATACRGGATCCACTGAGACAAAAATCAAGTTCTAGGACATTCTGTGGAAGCGTCACACACTTGGTGCTGAAAAACCACAGCTAAGCAGCATTTACATGGGACAAGCAATGAGGAACCTCTGGTCAAACTGCACAATCCCTGTGTAGTRAAAATCCCTGTAATGTCTTCAGAAGAGAGCCACAAACCAAACAGCCAATYCACTTATGCATAGTATTTTATTCCTCACTCCCTATCAGCATCTAACAGACAGCATTTCCCATACCAGCTGCTGCTCTAGTTACTGTATGGTCCAGACACTCTGCAATGGAGAAAGAATAGTCACAAGATCAATGGAAAGAAAAGAATCAGTAGCATAAAAAAAAAACCCAACAAAAAAAACAACCCACAACCCTCAAACCTTCCTGTAAGGTCAGCCTTGTTAACGGGGATTATGAAAAGCAAATTCCGTTAATTCTCTCCTCAATGTACTTCTGTAGCATTTTGTTTTAATCAGATTATTTTTCAATGTGTGCAGAGCAAGGATCTTACAGGGGAAAAAAAAGAGAAAAGACTGGCCTATTGTAGTAACCTGCATAATACAGAGCTCTGTTTGAGTCTATAAATACTCTTGTCTGTGTACTGTAGAATTTTGAGCTCATTAGGAGATATGAACTGCTTATTCTGCACAGAAAAAAAMCCCTTCCATATACTCAGGTAGCTGATACTGTACACCACCAGCCAAAATCAAGATTTATGCTTCAGTACATATAAACATAAGGAAGTGGKGGGTAATGCTATATAAATGGCTCAAAAGCTGCAGGCACCTTTGCAGACTCCAAAGCATATCAGCAAAGGTCATTTATCTCTTCTCTCAGAAAACATAATGTGCTCAGTGGTTAAAAACSCTGCTGTGCTTTGACTCAATGAAAATTAAGTTAAAAGTTCTTGTGGTAAGCAACTACAGCTCTCCTGGCTCAGTCATCCATCATCACCTCCCTGCAAACTCCATATCAAATCAGGAATATCAAATGAGTACAGCTGAAGAGAAGCCAAAGATTAATACCCCTAAGAACAACAAGAAATATGCAGTAACCCAACCTCAACAGAGAAAAAAAAGCCATCTTCTCTTTGAGATGCACCTTTCCACAATTTTAGTTCACCCCAGAGGAAGAATCTTCCAATAATATATCATGAAAGAAGACCAATAATTTTTTCTTGGAGACATTGCAGCAGGTTTCTTAAATTACCACCAAAACTGGAGAAGCCTACCTAGATTATTTAATTCACCTTTAACTGTACAAATTTCATTTGCTAGAGAAGTTCAGTCCACATTTCAGACCTTGAAGAGGTCTCTCAGCTTTTTTAGTCCCAGGCCATTGAAAACTTTTAACCACAGACTATATAACTAACTGAGAAAGGACGACAGGATTGATGCTACACAGCAGATAGGCAGCAAAAACTGACCGCTGAAGTCTAAATGTTGAATCCACTGCAACCTCATCATTTCCCAACAGCACAAACCAGGCCATTTTTTGGARTGGAAATTCATCTTCAACCCAAACAAAAATGCCTCTTCAGCCTCAGCAGGAGATTCATGAGCACTCCTAAGCTCTCATTAGAAAAATTTAAATGAGCAACTGATGCACAGTCTTGAACTGACAAGGCACTTCACTGCTTTGAAGAAGTGTTGGCATTTCCACATATTTTGCATCCTACAATATAATTGCCTGGTACAGTTTCAGCACCCAGTATTTAGCAATTTGGCATGATAAAAAAACTCGTGCAAGAGGACCAAAAAGCAAGAAATAGAGGAAACTAGAAAAAAAGGTCAATTTTTACATGTCATTCTCCATTAATTCTGCTATTGCCAGGTTCTGAGCACTGCCCAAATATTTGTCCGTAAGGGCAAATTTCAAACAATTTAACAATTTGCTTCGTCTCTCATGCATAATTTTCGTATTGGAACTTGATAGCATATTTTGCTGTTTCTACTGAGTTCCTCCAGGCTGGATTAGTCTCTTTTATCAGGGAATGCACTGCACTGGTGGTTTCACAACTGCATTGGTGGTTTCACAGCTGGTACAGAAACACAGACTGCAACTGCTTTGCTCAACTCCCTCATCAGCTTTCAGCCAGTTTCAGGCTTTGTTCCAAATTTGCAAAGATTTTAATGAATCAAACTGTGCTCCAAACAGAAATCTGACACAAGTTGCTAAGTTGTTACTGGAAGGAATTACTGGGGAACAAAAATGGATGGAAGGAATTATTGGAGAACAAAAATTGTGCTTTTACTGACAGCGTATCAGACAGCGTATCAGACAGCTTATTTTCTCCTTGAAATGCCAGGCAGGAGGAAATGAAAATGAAAAAGGAAGAATTTTATATTGGATTGTGTGCAGAAATGTATTCACTTCACTTAGCTACCCTGAGCGAACGAACTGTTCCCAAATACTTAAACCACTTCCCAGAGACCAAGTGCAGACAAAAGTACAGGGTTCACTGGAAGTGCAAGATTTTGAACTTCTTTCCCCTACATTAAAGTTCTATTTCCCTTACCAAAGCAAAATTCACTGAAAATGGCCGTACCATACTTGCAACACAAGCTCAAAGTCATTTAGATGTTTATATCTCTCATTTTAATTATTTTGGTAGGGTAGATGAAGGCCATTTTGCAATTCTTCCACAACTAAATACACTGGACTAAAATTCAGGCCTGTCATCTTSTTTCCTTTCACTATGGAAGGCCAATTAGTGTTTCCATGACTAGAACAACCATATGGAAAAATGTTTCCTGCTACTCTAAACCAAAAATTCTGTAACTCTACATGAAAAAAAAAAATAGTGACCACTTTTAAAGAAACTCGAGCAACCTAGTTTGCTTAGGTTGCTTAGAATGAATGAGACAGGCATTTGGGAATGTAGCTGGTTTTGCTTCAATTCAATAAAAAGCCAAACAAAAGGTATACTATAAAACTTCAATCTGATGCACATATTTAATAGAAATAAATGGAGAGCGACCCATGAACAAAGGAGACACAAAATACTATTTACAACATCATTATTGAATTTAATCTACACAGCTGTGTTTCTCAGACTACAACACCAATCCTGGCTGTTGCACATTTTGGAGTACACAGTATTGACAAACAAAAGGAAAGATGGCTAGGAAACAGCAACAACAGCTGTGTAACTACTTAAATGAATGGGGTCCCGTAAAATACAACTCATAATTTATCTAATAGCTGAAATTTCATAATAAGTGTGTTGGCTTTGTTTTTGAAAGGCTTGAAATCTGTTTATTGATAGCACATTCCTGTTTATGCACTAATGATTTCTAAAATATTTTTCTTAGGAAGAACACATGTTCTCTTTGTAACTTTGCTGTAGAGAATTCATTCCAGAGACCRAGGAAATGGTGCAGAAAGGCTACTCAGATAAGTAATATTTACATATGACTGGGAAAAACATCTCAGTTTGGTTAACAATACTGGCAAAACTTCTGAAAAAACAAACTACACAAAAAAAGTACAGCTTTATTTTGCTCTTATTCACTAGAAGGAAATAAAACTTTCTTGACAGCCCAAAAATTTCTTCCCCTCATAACTCTAAGATGAACTCAAGACTGATGCTAAACTCTTCAAGATGTCTTTTCACATTAAGTGATACACATGATTGTTGATGTCACTACATGATGGCTCTGTGTGATTCTGGTTTCTATACTTGATTTAGGTGTGYTCTAGTGCATTGGGTTTGTGTGGCCAGGTTTTGGCAGCTGGGGGGACTCAGGAGTGGCTTCTGTGAAAAGCCAYCAGAAGCTTCTTTCATGTCCAAGAGAGCCAATACCAGCCAGCTCTTGCCTCCTGCAATCCAACTCACTGGGCAGCATCGTGATGTATGTCCTCTAAACTCATTCTTTTATTTAACTTTTAAAATTATCAAAGTTCCTATGGCATGTCACTCCTAACAGATATCAGTCCAGATTCAATTTGAATTCAAGATTTCTGGAATGTGGAGACTCTGCTGTGATCAGCCACAGCAGAATCAAAAATATTACTGAGAAGAACACATAAAAAGTTGGTTGAAGTCAATATACATACTGGCTTTTTATATGTATAAATCATATAAAAGTATTTACACACATACACATATCAAGTGTGTGTATATATATTTACACATACACACACACACACACACACACACATATATATATATATATATGTTGATCAATTTCACTTTTAAAAGTGAAGATATTATTTATGGACAGAAACAGAAACAAGGGAAATCTGCTTCTAGTCTGTGTGCATTTTTGGTTTAGCACAAACATGATGTTCCCATCTTTCCATACACTCCTGCAGAAGGGCTCCTCTCCATCTCTGCTAGAACTCCAAAGGCCCTAAAATCTTCCCCACCAGGCCAGCCTGAAACAAGACTGTGAAACTCTAAGCTCAAAAATTTGAGCCTTCCAGCTCAAATTCAGCAATACTTTCAAAAAATAAGCCAGAAATTACAGAACCATGAGGCATTTACAAAACATCTCCATTTCAGTAGCACGCTTAGGCCCCTATGGTTTTCTCCCTTTCAAACACATTTCTTTCAAGGTGCTCCATTTCTTTCAGAAGTCTGACATGAAGAACAACTTCCCCAACAAAAGACATTTGAGAGAACTTACCTTGTGGCTTTGGGCTCGAAGCTGAACGTGGGGACTGTTTGAGGGGCACASTTCCATTTATTCCCTGAGCCGCTTCATTGCGTGCGTTCTGCTCCACAAGCCTGGCTGTGGCACCCGCTGTACAGGCTCGAGACAATATCAAGGGCTTTGGACAGATGCTGCTGCCTGGAAGATAAATACGTACAAAAGGAAGAAACAGAATTAAATATAAGATTGACAACAAGCGTTTATTGGAGTGCTAACAATTCTCTACGGAGAATATTAAAGTGTTTGTCTTYCCTTTAAGTGTCTCACCCTAAAAACATTCTTTGCTTTTCACTGAAATGTRTTATTTTGTTTAAACCTTTTAGAGTTGGATATTAAAAATATACTCCTGCCATGACCACTCTAATCTCTTCTACAGGAACATGACAATCGCCAACACAGTTTTTTTCCGATTTGAATTGTTGCTTGTCCAACAGAACTGTAGAAAAAAATTTGCTCAACTATTCCATTTCTATATTCAAAGTGTGCACAAGACGCTATACATTCAGAATACTTCTTTCATTACTGATGTAGGATCCCTAAGTCAGCTAAATTAATTGCATCTTTTTTTGGTAAGAAAAAGCCCTATTGTAAGTATTAAAAAAACAACAAAAAAAGCAGCACAGCATGAAGCCAGCTGACTTTTTCTTAGCAGAATGGAATTGATTAATAGGATCAATATGCTGCTATTGGTAAAAAATCTGAAAGAAAATGTAAAGGAAATTATATTCAAACAATGGAAACTGTAATAAAAGCACTTATTAGAATGTGATTACAGAAGCCTAAAGCATGCACATTTGTTTTGGGGTGTGAAAGCAACTGGTTCTCTAAACACAACAAAAACCTTGAAACAATTACATCAAGGACCTTGATATGTCACTTTCGTCAATATTCATTTATCTCTCAATCAAAAAATCCATATTTTTGTGGGAGGAGCAAGGGAAAGGAGGACAGCCTGTTTATAATTTACTGCAGTGCTTAAATATTTTCATTTTTTTAAAAAAATAGAGTAGAGTCTCTACTTTATTTACCTATTTACTGTTATTATTTGCCACCTTTTTCCATTTGCCCTTGCTGGGTTTTTCTTTGCATGTTTCCATAAAAAGCAACTCCAAAACCCAATCAACCGTTTCATAAGGTGATCTCCTTTTCTGTTCTGAACAACAAACGGTCTGCAGAGTTTGCACCCTCTGGTCTGATCCAGCTCCTTTTCCTACAGCAAAATCATCCATATCAAGCCATTCCCAGCTACAGCCAAGCCTGTTGTTTGAACAGCAATGGAAAGGGAGGATWCAACAATTGCTCTACMCTGCTTAATAATSATTCAGCATTTTCTGGACTCCAACWATGCTTTCAAGGATTTATTCTTTATTTATTSTTTATTTCCTAGAAGKTTTTTTTTCCTATTAAACACYRAGGTAGCCTYACACCCAGAAGMTGWCTCTACYAACACAGAGACCTGCAGAGGTCCACAGTGGTATCAGCAGTCCATGCTACCAAAGCACCAGCACCTGGCTGACAACGCATGAACAACACCCACAGCAGCAGCACAGCATYTTTCCCTCTTCCAGTTCATCCAACCAGCAAGGGATCTCCCAAAAAAGTCAAGTGGCTGGTTCCAGAGTGACGAGGATAACCTAACATGGCCTTCCATCTACAGAAGTTTCTCAGACATCTGTGATCTCAGGCAGAGATTGCTTGACTCTGTTTCCTTTGGTACCTCTCCCATCCATAAAAAGTTGTGTTGCACTGCAGCAGTRGGAGCTCTGTCCCACACCATTCCTCAAAGCCTAACAAGGTACTTTRAAGTGAAATATCTATCTCTCCCACRGGGGTGAAAGCASYGAAAGCTCTTAGGAAGACCCAGTTGATGGTACAGGGAATTTTACCAGCAAGTCTGGCTTGTCTCCACGACAGAGCTGACAGGCTGAATTTCCCTTTCCTCAGAATCCCATATGACACTGTAGCAGTTTACACTCTAATTGGGCAATCCTAAATTCACAAACAAATTGAAGAAGATTAACTCCTGAGGGATCAGTATGATGCACAGATTGGGTGGGCGATTGCACACAATTTATAAATCTATATTCAGGTCACTTATAACTTTGTAGTGAGGGTCAAAGTGTGAAGCCTTAGACCTTTCTGTAAACTATTTGMCTTGCAGATTCGTCAGCCAGCATGCTGCAAAGTCGACAGCTCAGTATTGCTGCTGTCAATTGTTCAGGCCAAATTAAAATCTCCACTGAAATGGTACCTTATTTATTACAAGGATTTCCTAAGAAAACGAGGCACTGCTGTGGTCAGAATAGGAACTTGTTCTGCACACACAGCCTTATCAAGGCACCCATGCGTGTCGAAGGTTATCGCTCACCATCACGCAAAGCCGAGCCAAAGATAGAGGTGCTGCTGAGAACAACGCTGCTCTGTGGTCGGCCACAGGTCCCCTCTCCTCGTCACCTTCTGCCCCAGCTTCTGCTTCTGGCTACTCCTTCCCCTGGGCCAGCACCAGCCTTGCTCCACTGCACGGAGAGAGCAGCAGCAGAAGCACGGCAGCTGGAAGCTGGAGGATATTTTGGAGCAGCCTGACCTCACCCCAGCACTGCTCCTTGCAGGAGGGAACAGCTGAGAATATGGCTGGGATGGGGCAACACAGCTCTTCCYCAGACCTGCCTGATGAGATCATTCAAACACAACCCCAGTTCCTCAAGCAGCTGTTCACACTTTTATTCTACTCSGTTTGCACACAGCCTTAATACAAAATCCAGTGAAACCATCAACAGCTGAAATCAAACCTTCAATGCAAAAACATTAGGTGGCCTTAAGAATCAATTTYGTTGTCAGCATCATGTGCCCCTCACTAGACTGGCAAATATCAGTTGCATTCAGTGGGCAAAAGCCATTTTGTAAAGCTCATCCACTGTAATTCAGAGAGGTAACACAAGCAATAGCAAAGAGTGCTTCTCTATAATGGGATTTTTTTGCAACAGCTTACAGGAAACAGAAACTCCAACAAGTTCTGACCCAAGATGTGCTCTGGCTTCACACCAACAGCTCAGCACATGGGGGGTGTAGGGAAACAGGAAGACTTCAAGCTCATGATTGCTGTACAAGCCATTAACAAATTCTCCATCCTCTCTGGAAGCCACGTTTGCTCGAGATGGACATGCTGCAGACATTTAATCTATGTTTCAAACSAGTAGTTGTGCTAATCATGTCACATCCTCAAGCCATGTAAAGCCTGAATGGAAAAGGGCAATGGAAATCTGGCCACAGCACAATTCTATACAAAACTGACTAGTTGTTCTCTGGGCAAAAAACATCCTTTGACATCTGTGGAAACCTGAGCCCTAGCTTCCAGCCAGTGAACAATAGCACCTTCCAGGAGATGCAGACAAGAAAACTGAGTCAGAAACACAAACTCGTGGTGAAAATTCCTGTAGTTGGTGTATTGTATGCAAATGTATTATACTATAATACACTTTGTCATAACAAAAGCCCAAAACATGCAATATTCAGCCCAAATGCTTRCTCCACAATCAGCAGCATTTCAGTAGGGCTCCTGAATTGTGTAGGTTTAAGTAGGTAGTAACACAGTCTACAGTTTCAAAATACAGCTGTTGCCCCACAAACACAATGTCTAATCCCTTTAGATATGGAAAAAGGCAGACATGCTGCAAAAACCTGCAGCTTTTACTGGGCTGAAATAGAATCATTATTATTTCTGGCCTGATTAAGGAAACACTTGCACACTTCTGCATTTATAATACATAATACCCATGCATTATAAAAGCTGAGATATGTTACCTGAAGAGAGAAATTCCAACCACAACGTGACACTACCAGGCAGTTCCTGTGCTGACTGGCACATAATTAATGCCCCCCTCTCACAATCAGGAATTATTAAATACACCGAGGAGGAGAGAAAGGTGGAGCAAGATTTAAGAAAAGTAAGGCAGAAAGAGGCAATAATGACTAATGGAAAAGAGAAATAAACAGTGCAAATTTGATAAGGACTTCATTATTTTGCTTATCACCTGTAAGGAAATGAGAAGCTGGAATGCTTGCAAACATGCCTGCATCTGCAATTATGTTTGAAGGTAGGTGATGTATTATCTATTTTTTCAGGGCATTCTAATTAGAAATAACTTGGATCCACGAGCATTTAGACAAACATAATCAGACAGCTTGAAATGCCAGTAAGATTTTAMAAATGGCTTATTTATATTCACGAAGATTACACCAACGCTTAAGTATTGGATATGTCCTCYATCAGCAGTTCCACAAGCCAATCTCAACACCTTTAAATCCTGTGTTGTTGTTTTTATTTTCATTCCCACTTATAAGCAGGTAGTGCCTCTAYAGTGCTCCAGCACTGTCAAATTTTTAGTGCCACTGTGATCCCACTCTCAATCAGACATTCTGAATGAAAGAAATGCAGTGTTTCTGGATGTAAACAAAATCTGCGGGAAAAGTATTAGTCTCTTGTGACAAAAGGAAATATTGAAGGATCAAAATTACTTATTTTATATTTATATAGCTATGTACACCTCGTGTGTTAAGTCCCAAGAGCACCTCCCTCAATGGCTGCATTCTTGCTGTTCTACTGCTGGATCTTTTCATGTGGCATCAACACAAAACTTCCTACATCGATGCAAAATGCTTCCTACCCAGCCCTGGACAGAAACTGGGTTTCAGTGCTCAAGACTTCCTGCCAAACCTTTCATTCTCCTGACCAGCTCAGAGCAGTGTTAAGTAGCACTGATGCTATCAGAGACTGCTACAACCCAAACTCACTCACCAAAAGCTACAGGACAGAACAAGAGTGAGCAGCAGTTTCCCCACCACAAACCAGAAGGCAGAAAGTGACTTCTCAGTTACCACACCACACTTTGAGGCCTGAGCCAGATATCCAGGTAATGAGATCATAGACTTTGCACACAATTGTGTCCAACCTGTCCCTCAAAACTGAGTCTCGAATAACTTGGTACCTCCCCTTCACAGATGTATCCTTTTTGTGGGGGAAACTGAGGTGCTCCTAAGAGGCTTATGCTGCTGCTGCATATCCAAACACATGTCAATAACAACTGGACTAWCCTCAAATCTTTTGAGAATCAGGAGTGTGAAGGAGGAGAGTAGGAAGT